ACGCATCCAAGACCTAATCGAGAAGTCTGTGTCAACACAAAGCGATCAAAAGCAAACTGCACATTACAAGTAATCCCTATGCGATTGTACTAGCCAGTTGATTATCGAACAACAGCTTGTTTTACGTACCGCAATTTGTTTCCAACGCGGCAATGAACTTTTTGTCTAATTCTTGGTTGTTTTCGAAAACTTGAAAGTGATGGGGTATTCTTAGCAAAGCGGACCACAGTTCACAAGAGAATAGACAGGGCAAGCTCTTGGGCTGAACCGTGTGATAAGCTACCTAGATTGCCATATGTTGACTAATTTTGAAAGCACAAATGCAACTGATGGTCAAATGCAAATGGAGATTAAATGGCTCAACTTTTCAGCCCAAGGATCACCATGGTCTATAATAGGTGGTGTCATCGCACCGATTACACCAGTCTAGTTATAACTGATTATGTTGAGACCCAAATAAGCTGGAATTAACCCAAACAAGTTTTCTGCTAAAATGGTTGAAATATTTTCACTAATAATAATACTATTACCTACGTGAACAAATACGGAAGAGCAGCCATTTTCCCGTTCGAATTTCTCCGATTCCGTAGGGCAATAATCAGTTTGTTGGATTTGCACGAATTTTGAATGGCTCTCAGTCGACACCCGACGGACGTGATGGAACGTTGCGTTTTACTCCATTTGCCGTGGTCTTTTTGTTTCCCCCTAGCCACGTTCGTGCCCAGGGAGGCATTTTGTGTTTTCGATCGGATTTCTGTCAACTCTGAAACCGAACTGGGATCCTGATTCGAATAGGATGATTGGGTCAGTGAGGATTCCATTAGTTGAGTCGGGGTACCAATAGGAGACACATTGTTATTGACAAATCGTACAAACTGTGCTGTTTGTTTGTCACCTTCATTCGACTGGACCTCATTTGGGGCCAGGTTGATAGTGAGTGGGGCTGTCGTGCTGGGTTGTAGAGACTGAGTTTGCGGGTCATCTGACTCCATTGCCAACGGAACTTGCATATTTTGAATCTCAACAGGTTCAGGAACCCCGTCCGTCTCGTCCTGGGACCAACTCGGATTGAGAGAATGCTGTGGTGGTGATTCATGCGATTTTTTCTTGGTCAAATCAACATTCTCATCGGGGAGCTCCATTTTGGTCTGAGTCAAACTGACGGCAGTCGTGTCCTGAGCCCAGTCCGTCGAGATAGGAATCTGTGTGGGGTAAGGTTAAAACAATGTCTTGAATCAGATAGAGCAATTTTGATAAGATCAACATCTAACAGATTCTGTTATTTAACTTAGCAAACTTGAAAAATAAAATATTGAGCCCGTCAGCAACTCAAACAAACAAAGATAAGTAAATTACTGCCTAGCCAAGAGCTAACTCAATTTCAATTTGTTCATAACATGGTATGGCTATCGTTGTGTTTGTTTTCACAGTTATTTTAAACCATTTTACCCATATACTTA